TGTGGTCAGATTCACATTATTGGAATTGAGTTACTCTCTCTCACTCTAATTTCTTCATAGAAGGGGAGACTAAGGGGATAAGGATGGTTTAGATGGTCTGAGGCCCTTCCCAGCTTTGGTGTTCTGTAAATCTATCTGAGGTAGGTTTTTTGAATGGTGAGAAGGGCTGGATAAAATACAACCTCAGGACGTTTTTGGGGTGGACTGCAATTCAACCTAAACCATGAAGATCCATACCAATATCCTGTGCTTTTAGTTGAAACCCAATAAAAGTGCCCAAGAAAAACACTCCCAAGAAATCTGCACTCATCCACCCATCCAGAAAGGGAAAGGTGATGCCCAGGAAAACATTCCATTGAAATTAAAGCCCTGCTGCCAATCAACCTCTCCCACAAGGCCTCGCCCTCCCTTCTCTCCTCCCTTCCTCCTCCTGCTGACTGCAATAGCAAGCAGGTAGGTGTGATGGGATCTGTTAAAGGATGTGAGCCTGAGATAGCTGAGTTAGTGCTGTGGGTTTGACTCTCACACCTGTCCTGTCCAGTTTGGAAATGTGAAGGAATTAGAATACACCAACACTTTTGAAAAAGAACAAAGTTGGAGGACTTAGGAAGTCTGATTTCCAGATTTATTTTACAACTACAGTAATCAAGACAGTATGGTGATTGTGAAATAAAGGCAAATAGATCAAAGTAACAATATACAGTACAGAAATCCATTCCAAACATATAGTCAATTAATTTTCAGCAAAGACAATTGAGTGGAGAAAGGATAACCTATTCAAACTGTCCTGGAAAAATTAGAAAAATAATGTAAAAGAGGACTTCTGTCTACAATTCACATTACATTCAAGAAATAACCCAAATTAGACCTTAACTAAATATAAAACCAGAAAACTCCTAGAAGAAACATAAAGGAAAATCTTTGTAACCTAGGATTAGGCAAAGGTTTTTTAGACACAACATCAAAAGCATAGCACTGTACATTTAAAAAATGAATAATTATATTTCATCAAAATTAGCACTTCTTTAAAAGATAGTGCTTTCAGAATAAAAAAACTTTAGAGAAAAAAGAATTTGTAGAAAACGTGCAAATCACAGATCTGATATGGGAATTGTATCAAATCATATAAAACTAACTGTATTTTGAGTTGATATAACAAAATACCTGACAACAGGTAATGTATAAAGAAAAGAAGTTTGTTTGGCTCATGATTCTGGTGGCTGAAAAGTCCAAAAAGCATGGTGCCACACTCTGGCTGCATCACAGCATGGTAGAGAAATGGGAAGGGAATCCCCTCCCTCTGCTGGCAGTAGGGGCATATGTTTGAACAAGGAAGAAATAGAACCAAGAGGGGCCAGGCTTGCTCTTTTATAACAACCCATTCTTAGCTGGGCATGGTGGCCCTCTCCTGTAATCCCAGAAACTTGGGAGGCTGATGCAGGAGGACCACAAGTTCAAGGCCAGCCTCAGCAACTTAGTGAGATCCTGAACAACTCAGTGAGACCCTGTCTCAAAATTTATAAAAATTAAAAAGGGTTTGGAATATAGCTCAGTGGTAGAGCACCCCTGGGTTCAATTGCCTGTACCAAAAATAATAATCCATTATCTCAGGAACTAACCTGGTCCTTTGAGAACTACATTAATTTTTTCTAAGGGTGGTATCCCCATGAACCAAGGGCGTCCACCGCTTAAAAGGTTCTACCACCTCAAGACTACCATGCCGGGCATCTGAGCCACTGAGGGTCAAACCATAGCCAAACTAGTTACAAAGTGAAATTGAAGATTTAAATAGACACATCATCCAAGAAGAATGTGGATTACAAATGATGCATATTATTGATTATTAAGAAAATGCAAAGTATAATCACAACGAGATACAAAACCACTACACACCTACTAGAATATCTAAAAAGCAAAAACTGAACCTGGCAAGTGTTGGCAAGAATGTGAAGTAATCAGAACTCTTACACACTTCTGGCGGGAATATAGAATGGTCCGAACTATTTTGAGAAATAATTTCTTGGAACATTCACCTAACATGAGATACAGGCATTCCACGCATAGACCTTCACCCTAGAGAAATGAAAGCATACAGAGACCTGTACATGAAGTATGCAAGGCAGCTTTGCTTGTAGTAGCATAAAATTGGAAAAACGATATGAATGCTCATCAACAAGTGAATGGATAAACCAAGGATGGTATATCCATACAATGGATTGCTACTCAGCAGTAAAATGGAATCAACTACTACTGCTATATTGTGTCACTTACTGATGGAGATACATTTTGAGAAATCCATCAGTAGGCAAATGTCACAGGATACTGATAAAAACTACTACAATGTCACTAATGTGATCTAATCTTACGGGACTGCCATTGTAGATGCAATCTGTCGTTGACCCAGACGTCTTTGTGTGGCACCTGACTGTACATGTAGCAACATGAATGATTCTCAATTTAATTATGCCAAGTAAAAGAAAACAGATCAGAAGTGGATATCCTCCATGATTCCATTTACATAAAATTCTGTAAAATGCAAATTAATCTGCAAGGGTGTAAAGCAAATTAGAGGTGGCCTTGTGACTAGGAAATAGAGGGAGACAGGATGCAGGAGAGGGTTGGGAAGGATCAGAAAGGATCAGCAGAGATGGATCTATTCACTGTCTCGTTTGTGGTTATAGTTTCATGGGTGTGTGTGTGTGTATGTGTGTATATATCACAATCCATCGAATTGTACACTTTATTTGCATTATTTTGTGTCAATTATATTCCACTAAAGCTTACTTTAAAAAAACAGATGCAGTCTGTCATCTAGGAGTTGAATCATGGTCTCATTTAAGAGACACCACTCCAAGAAGAGAAGGGATTTTGTTTGTTTTGTTTTACCACCCTCTAGTTAGTACTTTCCACAACCACTCAGCACCTGCCCTAACAAACTCACCATGTACTGCTGTCCCCAAGAAGCATCCACACCTGCTGTTCCACCATCTGCCTGAGACAAGGTGCCAATATCTAACTCTAGTTTCTTCGACTTGGACAAATTATGTCTGAACCACTAGTCCTGGCCTTCTAAAAAACAGGTCTGAAGACCTAGTCCACAGGACCTTAGAACTGGAGAGAAGGGGACTTAGGGGCCTTCTAGTCCTACCTCCAACCATTTTGAGAATCCCCTCTACTTTGGAGTAACCATCATCTAATCTCTGACAGTGTCTCCTGGGAACTCTCACTGTGCACCAAGAGTATAGACACAGCTGCATTCCAGTGAGAAGAAACCAAGGTAGGGTAAGAAGAAGTGAGAGTGTGCCCTGAGACCCTGCGGCTCCTTAGCCTTCATTTCAATGTGGTCCCTTAGAAATCTTACATTTTTAATTATGTATGTATGTATGTATGTATGTATTTATCTATTTATTTTTTTATTTTTATTTTTGGTACTGGGAATTGAAGGGGGCTTTACTACTGGGTTACACCCCACCACTTTTTATTTTATTTTGAGACAAGATCTTCCTAAATCACCCAGGATAGTTTCAAACTTGCAATCCTCCTGCCTCAGCCTCCTGGGTAGCAGGGATTACTGGCCTGTGCCACCTCACCTGATTATATTCATTTACTATCTTTCAATTGACAAATACATTTCCTTAGACCTATGATGGAGGAAGGTAAAAATAGATGGATCTGATAAATGAGATGTTGTCCAAAGGTTAATGGTGGACAGAAAGGGGGGTAATAAATTCCATAATAATAATAATAATAATAATAATTTTTTTTCATTTCTGACCTGATGGGCTCTTTCAGTTTGGGTGGAGTAGTCTGTATGCCAGGGGCTCTGATTGGTTTTGAGCACACCTTTTAAAGTTTCATTGCCTTTGAGCTCCCTATCTTGTACATTTAGGACAAAAGACTGTGCTCCTTCCTCCTGATCAGCAACAGGGATTATTAGAACCTTGGGTTCTGGGAAAGAAAAAAAAAAAAAAAAGAAGAAGAAGAAGAAGCCTGTGTAGCAGATCGGGAATGGATTCTTCTGCTCCTTGACACCTTTTCAAGCTTGGTGATCTCAGCTGCTTCTCTGAAGGGAATAATCCTTTAAACTCTCCATCCAATGTGTTCTCAGACAGGAGTTTAACTCTTTCGCCATTCCAAGTTTATCAGAGAGATCTATAGACTCTTCCGGGAGGATGTTTACAAAGGTCTTCTAGTGTTGCCAAGAAAAGAGAGACCAGGAAAGAGCCTGTTGCTGAAGGGTTTCAGAGGCAGTGAGATTTAAACATAAGAGGACCTTTCTTTACCTTCTAACAGGTTTCCAAAGGCCAGTGGTGGGCAGAACAGATGGCAACAGAGGTGCAGAGCTGCCCTAAATCCCTGGAGCCAGGAGATGTCTGTTTGGAAAGTCCTGCTCTAATTGTCTGAGAGCTGAAGTTATTCTGGAGATTAAAGCCTGTTGTCCTTTTTCTTCCCATTTTTCCTCTTCCTTTGGAATCATTTTATTTCTCTGAAAAGGGGGAGGACACTTCTCAAAAGCCCATGTCTAGCTTAGTGACTGGGTCACAGCTACATAGCACGTAACAGTAACCATGTAAGAATGAATTTATTTTTGTGGTAGGGGAATTCTAGAACATGGTAACCACCAAATCTAATCAATCACATGACCCAGGCACAGGGTATTTTGAGTATGGGTTCAATAACAGAATGATCTTGAAATTATGTTCCTGTTAAGGCTCTTGCAACTGTGAAGCTCCCAATTGTAGAAATCTAAATGTATTTGTTTGGGTGTTTTGGTAGTTTGTTTTGAGACTGGCTCTTTTTGTGTTGCCCAGGTGGGTCTCCAAATCCCAGTCTCAAGAGATGCTCCTGCTCAGCCTTGAACCACCACACGGGGCACACACTTGGCTTATTACGTTTGGTTTCATTCTGTGAGACATTTTTCTGCACATTCAAACATATGCTAACACATGGCTAGCTCTGGAGAAGAACTTCACTTAATAAATTATTTGAGTGGCTTTTTCTTTTTTTTTTTTCCCAATTCTAAAGAAACATTACTTCTGCAGCCAGCCTTGGGAAACAATTTTTCTCTGTGATAAGGATGACTTCATTTTATCCCAGTAAAAGGTAAGTTTTTCATCATCATAATTAAGCAGGAGAGAAATGATCCCAGGGAGCTGTATGACAAGTTGTGTAATTGTAGTTAATTTTAATTAACAAGCTCCATTTTTGAATTGTTAATCTCCATTCCTTTCATTTTTGTCAAGACTAACACTAAATGGATTTCAGCGATGAGTTTCCCCCTCCCTTCAATGAACTATTACATTTCAAGTGTCTCATAAAGAAAAAAATGAATTTATTCCAATTTTTTTAAGCTGAAGTCTTCAAGTATAGAAAGACAGAGCTTGTTATTCATGGCAGCCTAAGAGAGACCTTCTACAGTGTGTCCATTACAACTGAGTGGGTGGTGGGCCATGGGTTGGGAGGGAGGGCTGGAGGAGGGCTGGCATTCCTCAGGACATTTCCACAGGGACTTAATAAATAGGAAAACCATATAAGGTACAGAGCTCTAGCCTTGGAATCATGGAATGCATTATTATGAAAAAAATTGGGAACCATATTTTATGTTTCATGGCCCTGTTTTCAGCACGACACACACACATAATACCTTTAATAGACTTTTTTTTTTAGCCATTTTAGGTACTCAATATTTTTTTTGAAGAAGAAAAACCACATGTTTCAACATATTGCCAAGAAGAGCTCCAGAAACAAAGGGTAGCAACAAGATTAAAGAGTTTTAGCAAAAATCTGAGAATAGCCTTCACTGACCCACCACCACTGGGTGGTGGTGTCATTGAAACCTTCAGTCCCAGGTGAACTGTCCTCAGATCTCCCCCATTTTACCCACATCACTGATGTCCCCGGCTGGGGTGTGTGAGTGAATCAATAGAACACTGTCCTGTTTGACTGGGATCTGTAGCCATCGTGACAGAGGGTATTGTTTCTGCCCTTCTCAATCAACAGTTTTCAATCTAGAGGACCCAGAGGTGGCTTAGAAGGAGGTCACCATGGGGCATGTGGCCTGCACTATGGTCCTAGGCTTGAGTTTTATGACATCAGTGGATATGCATAATCAGCCCAAGGGAATGAAATGAAAGTTTCCCAATTAAAATTTAATCATGCCTTTATGTCCACTCTACAGCACCAGTTTAAAAATGAAAAATCTTAGGGTCACCTGGTGTAAAAGGTCCTGGCTTTTCATCACTTACAACTCTTCAGAGCTACAAATTTTGATAGGCTTTTGTCTACCCACATGCTGCTTTTATTAGGTAATCATTCCATTTCTCATTTTTCATTAAGCAAAACCATTAACAATAGCAGCTATCTGTTATAGAGGGCTCGCTATGGCCAATCCCAGTGACACTCTGAGAAAGATGTTAATCTCCTGATTTTACAGAGGAGGGCACTGAGGTTCACAGACACCAAATAGCTCCATCAAGGAGCAAGCACAATGCTATGCTCCGAGTCTGCGTGAGTCACCACACAGGCGAATAAAAGAGTACCACTAGCCTCGCTGAAATATAGACAATTCCTCATGGACCGCTTCTCATCTGCCAAGCCATCAACACCTCTAACAATCTCCAGAAGTTTGAGGGTTCAGAGAAAATTGCTTGCTAAGTCACAAGGACACAGAGAGCAGGGCTCCCAGTCCCACCTACTGCTGGAGACCCTGGGAAAGAAGAAATAGTGGATGAGCTTCGGATAGCATTGCTGCCTCTCTTCCTCCCTCTCCTCCTTTGCAATATTATTTCCCTCAGGATTCTAGTCCTCAGTGCTTCAGCCTTGACTAAAATATTAGAGAATTCTGATGGTGGTTGTTTTTATTTATATATTTTTTAAATTTCTTTATTGTATGATGTTACTAGCACGTGACCTGATGTCTCTAAGATTTCAGAGACACCCCATGCTGACTGCTCCTTGCCACTTTGAAACAATCCAGGATCTAAACTTACTGCCCAAGGAATACAAAGAGAGAGAGCAGGGCCATCAATCACCAGCAGACACAGGGGAGCGGACTTTACCACTCATGCTTGGGGTGGCTGTGGGGTTGAAGAATGTGAACATTTAAATAGATCTTACTGGGACTGAGAAAAATGAATTAGTGCTCAAAGATCTCGGAGACAAGTTAATGCTGAAAATGATCTTCAAGGATAACAGAATCCAGCTTCTTTCTCAGTTGAAAGGACCTAGGAGCTCCGGTCTCAGCCCTAAGTCTGTTTGTCCCTGTGACCCACAGTGCCTGGTATAAAACTTGGCCCACTGGCATATTAGGAAATATAATTACTAAAAATAAAACCCAGATCCTCCAGCATCGACACCAGGAGACTGGCTAGGTGGAGGCTGGGGCCTGTGGAAGGCAGCTGGAAGACCTTGCAGCCTTCTGAAGACCACCACTCCTACCTCCATGGTGGGCTCAGAGAAATGCCTTGTTTCCTCTAACACGTTGGCTTCGAGGACCTTTCCAGGTGTGGTCTGGAGCCTGCTGAAGGGAGGCAAGAGTCTTACCATTTTTTTGTTTTGTTTTGTTTTGATTCAGCTGAGGGAATAGGATACCACAAGAGGCAAGAAACTGAAGGATCCCGTGGGGCTTGAGAACCCTGGGGCTGCATGTTGTCTGCTTGCGGCTCACCCTGGGCCTTTCTCCCTGCCTCAGTATGGCCCACAACATAGATCCTGTCTATCCCCAGCAGGGCTGCCTCAGACCCTTTGAATTCTCCAGGTCCACAGTCCAAAGACATTCCTCACGAGTGACTCACATCACAGTTAAACCTATATTTTTTTTTTATACGAGTTAGAACTTTCTTTTAAACTTAAACAAGAAATAATATGCACACTCAATTGAATTATACTATATTATTAACACATCAGAAACCAATAACAGGGATCTGTAACTCATTTGGGGGTTGACCTTAGAACAAAAAGTTTACACTCTGAATTCTGGAAGAGTATCCTCTGCAACCTGGAAAGCTACGGCACAACAAAGTGCAGGTTATCAGATGCAGGGACTGATAAGACAGGCAACTGTCACTGGATGCTCTAATTTCAAATTTTGGTTAGTCAAAACAAACATTCTCCAGTTGAACTTATAATAAATATTGTAAATCTTCACAAAATAAGGTATGCCTGCAAAATGCCACTTTTATTTGTTGTGTATCCTGGGACATATATTAAGCTGATATATGAGACTCATTAAAAAAAAAAAAGACTTTGTATCTCAAAAAGTTGTAAAGCTCCTCCCTACACCATTAGCAAGAACTTGAAAACCAGAAACAGGAGTGCACACCTGGTGGTCCCGGCTACCCAAGGGCAGAGGAAAGATGATTGCTTGAGCCCAGGAGTTGGGGGCCAGCCTGGGCAGTATAACCAGACTGTGTCTCAAAATAAATGAGAATATAATTAAATAAGATAAAGAGAAATTGAACCCTTTCACCTACTTGCCCAGGACCCAGAAACCAACCTCACCATAGCCATGTCTTATTCTTGCATGATTTTATTTTATTTTTATTTATTTTATTTTTTTATTAGTTACACATGACAGTACAATGATCTTGACATATCATACACTTGAATCAAATGGGGTATAATTTCTTATTTTTATGATTATACAGGTTGCAGAATCACATTGGTCATACGGTCATGTATATCTTGCAGGATTTTCTAGGAAATAATATCATCTCCCTTCTGAAGCTAAAGGACACAATGACTGAGGTCTAGTGTACACCTGCTTGCTTGAACTGCGTGAAGGAGGCAGTCATCAGAAATACGGAGGGATAATTTTCCTACACCCAGTATCCCAGTGACTGACGAGATTATTGGACATCAGGACCTGCCTTTGTCCATTCAGCTTCCATAAACAAGCTACCACACACTGGTGACTCATGAACAGCAGAAATTTCTCACTGTTCTGGAGACTGGGAAGTCCAAGACCAAGATGCTGGCAGATTCAGTGACTGGTGAGGGCATGCTTTCTGATGGAGCCTGCTTCCTCTCTATAGATCCTCATGTGGCAGGAGAGAAATTTGGTTTTCCCAGTCCCTTGTGAGGGCTCTAATTCTATTCAAGAGGTCTTTGCCATCGTGACCTAGGGCTGCAGTTTGAATGTTCACATCCTCTCCAAAATGCTTGTGGAACCTTAATCGCCACGGCAACAGTATTAAAAGGTAGGGCCTTAAGGAGGTGATTAGGCCATGGAGACTTGGTCCCCACAAAGGAGACTAATGTCTTATGAAAAGGCTAGAGGGAATAGGCCTGTTGTCTTTCCAAATTCTGTCCTAATGTGCCACACAGGACCAGGGTGCCATCTTGGAACCAGAAAACAGCCACCAGACACCAAAACTCCCAGCGCCTTGATCTTGGGCTTCATAGCTTCAGAACTGTGTGGCAGTAAAGTCTATTCTTATAAATTACCCAGTCTTGGGTATTTTGTTATAGCAACAGGAAAATGTAAGACACCTAGTTATCTCACGAAGACCTCACCTCCTAATCCCACCACTTAGGGGTTAGGTCTCAATTTAGGAGAATTTTGAGGAACACAAGCATTCAGTCCCTAGTAGGGCCAAAGGATCCTTCCCAGTGACCTGGACCATTTACACTTGGGGAACCCAAGACCTAGAGAGGGGAAGTGACTTATTCAAGGTCACATCACTTATGATTCCTTGACTCTGTATCCCCGATGCTTTCCACCATGTCCCCGGCTCCCCTTTCGTATGTGAAGATGGTCAACTCTTGGGGGAGGGGTTAGCCATCTTTCTGAAGGATATTAGCTGTGATTTATATTTCCAATGTGGCTAATGGTAGAAATAAAATGATAATTAGAAAGCAACACATGCTTTCAAAGTGACTGCTCACCAGAGTGAACATTAGGTCTGATTTGCTCAGGCCCATTAGAGATTTCAACTGAGCATTACAGGAGTGTTTCTTGGGAATTTGTCTGATGGATGTGGCAGGGTCAGCTGCTAAGGATAAAGAACCATCACTGAAATGTCCAACTAGACGAAATTTATCAATTACTGGTATTTGAGAATTTGAAAAGCTATACGTAAATCAAATTATTTCTAAAATGAAGCAGCTATTTAAAAAAATTTTTATAATATAAGCAGTTTTACCTTTATTGGTCTGCTTTATAAGTTAAAAGGCATGGAGAGGGTGGGTTTTATTTATTAATTGTTCCGATGTTGGGTTCTATTCATGTGAACAACATTTATAGGAAGAAATTTAAGTCTGAAAGGCACTTCAGAGACCACCTGATCCAATCCCTGAATTTCTAAATGAGGTGGCTGTGATCCAGAGAGGGGAAGTGACTATCCAGAGGCCACACAGCAAAACACCAGAGCCAGAACTATGAAATCTCCTTCAGACCCAGGTTGAGGCTTTATTTGATCAACAGCCAGAAGAGCTCCCTGTATTGAGCTGCAGAAATATGAAAATACAAAGGTCCATAATCCGATTCCTGTATGAATCCTTTGTAAATTTTTTTTGCTTTTAAAAAATATTTTTACTTACCCAAGTTCAAGAGAATTTTTAAGTACTAATAAGACACTTGAAATCAAATCAGAAAGAGAGAGAGAAAGGGAGGAAGAGGGGAAGGGAGAGAGAAAATAGGAGGGGAAGGGAGGGAAGGGAGGGAAGGAAAGAAGGAAGTGTGTGTGTGTGTGTGTGTGTGTGTGTGTGTGTGGTGGGTGGGCCACGAATACGAACTTAGAAATCACAACCTCTAATAGGAACGATCATTAAAATTGATTTAGGTTGAGTGTCCTGGTAATAACATTTTCATTTGCTTATTTCCCCCAGAACACCTCTACTATAGCTTAGCTAAAGATTCCTCTTTTCCTCTTGGCCACAGTAATGGCGGAATGTTTTAAAAGGCAGTGGGGACCGGGATGCTGCAGAGACAGTCAGTGGGTTGCACTGTATCCATTTCAGGAATGTTCATGATTAAAACAAATTTTTGTTGTTGTTTTTATCCCTAGTTGCATGGCAACAGCCTGCGCCACCTTCCTAAAACCTTGAGCCTGATGATTAGGGAATGTTTCGCCTCCCTGGAGCTTGACTGGGCACCAAGTCCTTCCCACCTGCCCCGTCCTGTGGAAACTCAGAGGCAAGAGGGCAGAGAAGGAGAATGGACATCACGGAGCCAAAGACTTGGCCAAGGTCACATGGCCTAGCAGGCCTCACTGGTGGTAGAGGCTCCTCAGCCAGGTCCCCTCTTTCTTCTCAGTGCCACAGAGGGAGGTGACAGATGGTTCAGTGCACTCCATCACCTGCGGGTGGAAACTGAGATTTGGGACAGCTTTTGACACGTGGATGTCACTGGTGAAAGCACCATCTCTTACGAGCATTAAATCCAGCCTGAGCGGAAGTAAAAGGGTTTTTTAGTGGGTACTGTTTTTCATGAAGGGAAGAGAGTCAAGGCCTCAGTTGTCTGAAGTTGGAGCACTGACAGGCGCCCTGCAAGCTCCCCGGCACCCAGGGTTTCCAGCATCAGTTTAACGCTGCCCGTGGTTCAAGGAACCTAAGAGCAACTTCAAAGTGAGATCACGGGATCTGCATGAGGTAAGAACTGGGGGAGGCTCATGGAACATTCAAGCAATGGTCAAGCATGGTCGGGGAGTCCCCTCCACAGTCAGCATCTCACCTCTGGGCCTAAGGCTTCAAGTTTAAAATAATAATAGTAATAACCTGGCATCTTGATCCATTTAAGTATGGAAAAAAACAGAGTATACGGGCACTCTTCCTGCTGGGACATCATGGAGATATTGTCACAAACCAGGAAGCAGAAAGAACTCAGCTGGGGCGTTGGGCCCCCGGTTGGAGTTTGCAATGCCGGCGGTTAGAAAAAGTGTCTCCAACTTGTAAACACAGCAAATTTGATCTGGAAGTCATTGAGAAAACATAAACATGGAGCCTCACGCAGTCATGTTTACACTGTTCCAGCTCCGGTGAAAGATGAGCCTGTTAGGAAGGGTTGGTTGTTTTCCAAAGGCTCTTTTCTTTTTAAAATAAAATTCCAAGAAGTATGGACCTCCAGACCCCAACCCAACAGAGACTGCAAGTGCATGAGCAATTGTTACTGAAGCAGGTAACAGTCAGAATGTCACATTTATTCAGGCCCTCTTCTGCAATTGAGGGAACCCCGAGTTTCCAAAAAGTCAATTGTTTTGAAGTGGAAATTAACGGTACTTGGTCCGGTGCCTAAGGCAACGTCCTCAGTCAAGAATCTGGTTTCATGACTATTCCATGTCCCCCAAATCCATTCTGAAACTGTAGTAACGTGGACCAGGAATTTGGTCCCAGTCCCTTCACTGAATCAATTAATAAATAAGAAGCACAGGTCTCGGAAGTGACTGATTTAAGGTCACAGAGCTTGTTGGTGTCAGAGGCAAAAACAGCACAGAGCTTTCCTGATTTCTGCCGGTTCTTTCTGGACATGCCTCTTCCACGTTTTGTTCCTTATCTTACACTTGGGCCCAAGGGTCTTTTCTCAATATTGTGTTCTGTAGAGGGTGCATGTTCTGTAGCGGTTGTTTGTTTCACAAACCTGGCATGAAAGAAATGCCATATTATTCTTCTAAAAATAAATGAATTCTGATCAGGGCCCCCCCGTTCACTGGGTTAGTGGAGAAACTCACCCATTCAGTCTCTAGTGAACAGGCTCCTCCTGGAAGCAGCCATGCCCACCTTCAGGCCATGGGAGAAACGAGGCTGTGGAAATGGCACAGCTATGCAGCTAGGGAGGACTCTGCTTGGCTTTCAGGCCTCCCAGCCAAGGTCCCTGCAAGTTGGCAGCATTTCTGCTCCTGCTGCTGACCTAGGACCTCTGCAAAGATGGGGCTCCCTGGGCTTGCAGCCTCTCCCCCATGAGGCTCTGCCTCCACCTTGGGCCTCTGAGGGTGGGGGTGAGTGCGAGGGTCTGGAAACCAAAGGTCAAAGACCCTCTGCACTTGGATGCACTCTCAGTACACCAACGCTGGTGAGTGCCCTCTGGGACGTCTCTCCTCCTTCCCTTCTACACTCTCAAGCAACTGTGACTGGGTTGAGCCTCATTGTTTTTGTTCGTTCATCTGTCAGTTCCCCCTCAAAATCATAAACAAATCTCCCCACTTTTGTTCCTCCTCAACATTTGGGAAAGAAATCTAGTGAAAGGTAGAAAGAATTGCTTAATTGTAGAAGGGCTATTTGGTTGGAGTCCTTGAGCTTTGGTGCCAAGATTCCTGGACTGTGTCCTTAATCTCTATTTGCTTCCCCACTTGATTTCCAGCTCGACTTATACCCTTAACAGGGCTGTGCTGTTCACTGATGTCACCTTCCTCATCCTCTTGGAGAAACAAGCAAGTCCTCCATCACTCAGTGATTTATGGAGCAGCTACGATGTGCAGGCACTGTTCTAGCCATGTGGAGATATAGTCACAAAGTTCTTGTCCTGACGGAACTCCCATTCTGGGACATGGAGAATAGAAATAATAAATAGTATTTCAGGGGATGAAAGGTGGTATGAAGAAGACATAGCAGGACAGGGGGGCATTCTTCTTCAGAACAGTGTCTCCAGAAGGGCTGGGATACTGACTGAGAGGGCTCAGGCCCCTTCTAACGCCATCTCATCCCCGCCGTACTAGTAATGGGAGCAGGCAGGAAATGTGAACTCAGCCTCACAAGCATGCCCTGGCAGCTGTCCAGGGCTGAGTCAAAGCCCCGCAACAGACACCACCAGGCCTGGGGCAGCCCTGGGCCAAGGATCATCACCCTTTGTCTCCTGATCTGCCACCCACTCTCAGTGTGGCCTCCCCCGCATCTTCAACTGTCTGGATGCGAGGGTTCTCTTTTGCAAGATGGGACACAGCAGGATGAGAGACTTCTCTTTTCTCCCATTGTTGTTTATCTTGCATCGTCTTCTCTGACTTTTATTCTAAATAGTTACTCTACTCTTGGTTTTAACTAGTTAAACGAGAAAAATATCCCATAGAATGATCGGGAGACCTGGTCAAAGATCTACCTCAGGAGAGGACGGCACATTCCTTCTCTAGCAGAAGATGAAATTAGACATCTAGAAGTCGGTTGCACAAACTTTAGCTGGGAGAGAAAAATATAACCAAGAGAATTTTTGAAAAAGAACAATAAAGAGAAACTCACTAAACAGCACCACTTACTATAAAGTTAGACAAAGTTGCATAGCTTTCAAAACAATATTCTTGTTGGTGGAAGGAGACCCTCATTGTTATACAAAATATATGTATGAAGATGTGAGAGAAAAAGAATAGCGTTACCTTAGATTAGGTAGAGAGAAGGGATGGGAGGGGAGGGGAGGGGTTGGGAAGATAGGAAGGATAGTAGAATGAAACAGACATCATTATTACTGTGTGTGTATATGAGAATCCATGACCAATGTGATTCTGCAACCTGTATAATCAGAAAAATGAGACATTATATCCCATCTGATTCAAATGTATGATATGTCAAGGTCATTGTACTCTCATGTGTAACTAATTAAAACAAATGCAAAATAAAAATTAAAAGTACTGAAATTGTAAATGCTAAAAAGCATACAGAAAGACTGGATCACTCTTAAAAAAAAAAACAAAAACCAATATTCTTGTATTGGTGCAGACAGAGGAAAACAGATCAACGTGCTTAAGTCCTTCCATAGCTACTAACCTGAACCCTTTTCTGTGTGCTCTATTGACCCAGCCACCCTAGTATCTCCCTTGGGAATCCTGACTCCTCACCCTCAACCACTAAAGGGTAACACGTGGTCCAGCAGAGGACCTCCCAAGACCTGGCTTTAGCACCTCAGGTAGATAGCTAACATCTGCAATGATTGGCAGGTGTTATTCAGTATATTTAATATCTCACTCCTGAGTACTCTCAAATTCTCTTACTGGTGGTTTGCCCTCCTCAGAATATAATCTGGCAGTTTCTATCAGAATAAAATTGTATGCATGTGAAACCCTTCATCTCAGTAATTCCAATTCCAGTTATTTTATCTACACACTCTATTATAGATATGCAAAACAACAACACAGAGATATTTATTGCAGAATTATTTATAATAACAAACAACAGAAATAATCTTAAAGCCTGATGATAGAGTCCTGGTGAAATAATTAGTCTGTCTTAGTCCATTTTCTGTGGCTGTGACAGAATTCCTGAGCCTGGGTAATTTATTAAGAAGATTATTTAGTTCTTGGCTCTGGAAATGGAAGTCCAAGAACACAATGATGGCGTCCAGTGAGGATGCCACAACAGGTGGAAGGTGAAAGGGCAACTGGGCACATGTGAAGGAGGCCAAACACAAAGGCAGCCTTGCTGTACAACAACCCTCTTGGGATACTAATCCAGTTCCATCAGAGTAAGAACTCACAAGAGAAAGGCATTCATCCTAGCGACCCAATCACCCCTTCAAGGCCCCATCTCCCAACACCACCGCAAGAGCAACCAACTGTCAGCATGAGCTTCAGAGGGGACAAACTACATTCAAACCACAGCTCCACCTATCCATGGACCACTGTGCCTCTACCTCAGGGAGGACCCAGCAACTGTGGCAGGCTTGTTTGGTGGAAAAGTCCGGAAGTAGGGCATTTCAGATCACATTAGATCATCTCTCAACAGTGTTTCTGTTATTCTCCTGACTCTACTCTTCTCTGTGCGTCACCCTCATCCCTGATGACTCAGCAGCCAGATCTCTGTAGCACTTCTGGCATGATGGCTGCACAAATCATAGCTCAGAGGGAAGGAGAGAGGGGCTTTCCCTCCTGCAGCATCCAGAAACATCCTGGGCCCCACTGATAGGAGCCATCCTGAGCTGGTAGCTGAGCCTTACCCCATCCAGGACCCACCCTGGAACTGGGAATGAAGTCAGCCCCACCGAAGGGGGAAGGAACAGCGTGGATGGAGGACAAATGAGTATGTCAGCCATAGTCACTGGAGTATGGCACCCTGAGGTCATTGGAGGAGAAGAACTGATAGGAAGTAAGGGTCGATGGAAACAGGAAGACAGGTTAAGAGGGAGTTGCTATTGTCCTGACTAAAGAAAGGAACTATCAGTGAATTTCAAGGTAGAATTTCCAGGACTTTAGGACTTGATCTCCAGCCAAGTTGAATAAGGAGGGTCAAGAGGGATTAAGAAATCCAAGCCTAATATGAAAAATTTAAGAGGGTGTCGAAAAACTCAGTAATCAAGATAAATAATATTTTAACATATTTTTAAAATAAAAGTTAACATCAACATTCATTATGCATGCAATATTAAAATTGTAAATAAAGATATAATGTATGACAAATTTTTTTCTTTTGTCTCAGTCTCCAATACGGCTCAGCACTGAATGCAGATCGACTCCCAGGTGACAAAATTGAGATGATCAAAAGAAAAAGAAAAATTGTTGGTGGGAGAAGGAATTGATTTGGTGGAGAAGTCGATGGGTTTTATTTCAGCTGTGACAGGGATGTTCAGGTCCCTCAAAATGCACGGAGGTCTACCCAACATCAGAATGAAAAACAATCTCTGGGATTGTATAATGGTGGGGGAGAAGAGAATTTAAACCCAGGAATAAGATCACCAAATCCAGTCTCTCCTCACAAGAAACGGTAGCCTTTACTTCGCTGTCCCACATAAAATGAAATGTGACAGGGGGACTCCAGGAAAGAGCCTGCTGCACACACAGTGCAAACTGTGGATTATTACCAGCCCTGACCTCCAGCCAGGTGCCCGAACCTGGGCTAAGGTCATCAAATCGTCATACTGCAGGGTTCCTGGAGCTCCTTCTTCAAAGGAGAGAAAAGAGAACAAAAGTGGAAAAAGAGCAAGTGAGAAAGAGAATCAACCGTCATTGGTTTGCCAAATTATGAACAAACTATTTCATTTTAGGATTAAATTCTATTTAGAAAATTATATTTTAGAACGGAAAACTGTTCCCTCTCCTGCATGCAGACAGCAGAACCCAAGAGTGATGCTAAACCTTTGCCTGCCTGTTGGTTGGTTCTGGTAAGGGAAGGAGCTATAAATCCAGGCAGGCGCTGCGGCCACAAGCTTCACTCACAGCTGCACTGCTCTGCTCTCCTGGCTCAGGAAGCGCCAGGAAATAAAGATAGTCTACGGATTGGAGGCTAAAGGAAAGAATAGCTTTCTTTTGAGAGAAAGAAAGGAGGGAGAGAGGGAAGGAAGCAGAAAAGGGGAAGGGGAAAGAAAGGGAAGAGAAAAGAGAGTCCACCAGCCATGATACTGCTGCTACTGTGAAGCTCAAGTTTAGCTGTTAGAGCTGGGGGAGGCAGCACATGCTTGTAATCCCAGCAGATCAGGAGGCTGAGGCAGGAGGATCACGAGTTCAAAACCAGCCTCGGCAACAGTGAGGTGCTAAGCAACTCAGTGAGACTCTGTCTCTAAATAAAATACAAAATAGGACTGGGGATGGGGTTCAGTGAAGGCTCTAGAACCAGATGAAGCCATCCGGGCAAGGAACCGAGTTTCCTCTAAGGAATGTTTCTGTGACATGTTTCTGTGGTCACTAGAAGAGGCAGCTTCCCTGTAAATTCGAAGGGTGTTGACAT